AGCGCCCCTCAACTGATCATCGAGCCCCCACTTTACCTTTGCGCCCCCCCCCCCCTTATTAGGACTCCCATTTCAAGACATGTAGATTCGCCACTGTCGATATTACCTGTCGACGCCCATGAGTAGTATATGGTTCGGTAGTAGTAGTAGTAGTAGCATCAGCAGTAATAGTAGTGGTAGAAGTAGTGTAGAATTAACATTATATAGCCTTCCTTTCGAATTTAATATACACCATAACTTGTTTCAGATATACGCTTAATTAATGGACAATATCCAAACGAAGGGCGGGTGGAAATGTTTGACAAGGGAATGTGGGGAATAGTCTGTGATTCCGGATGGGACATTGATGACGCCACGGTTGCCTGCCGCCAAATTGGATACACGTCTGCTGTTGAAGCATTTTCTGGACCTGAATTTGGCTCTGACAATGAGCATGTGTATGCTAACGGTATGGATTGCTTGGGATCTGAGGATACGCTGAGTGATTGCATACATAAAGGGATCGGCAGATCGGGTACCTGTAATGCAACTGCCGGTGTTCGTTGTTCCGACGAACTAATTGGTAGGCTTTAGTTTGAAAATACTTTATTAAACCAGGAACTCCCTGATTAAATCATACTGAGGTAAATTTATATTTTAAAAGTTTCATTCATTTAATTATATATTTACTCAACCAATAGCAAATAAAAGATCACCACTAACATGAGAACCATAGACTACATAAATATCAAACTTATAAACATGGTATTAAGAAGGTTTGCAGGTTCGAATACAACCGGAGAAACTTTGTCATACAATTGAACTTTTCATTTAAGGGCTATGCCTGATACGATTTTGACATCAAATGTCCTATTCGGGCACTTACGGTATTATTTATTTATTTATTTGCTTATATAAAATGTATATATAACATATAAATAAACTTTTTGAACATAAAAAAAATAATAATAATAACAATGACAGTGCTAGAATATATTAGTATTTTCATATTCTCAGATAAACAGTATGATATATATATATATATATATACATATATACATGCATATAATTAAGAAAAATAATTGTTGTATTGTTGTAAGGTATGAGAGTGCAATGCGGGCGCCTAGAGGGAGGACTGTCTCTTATACACATCTAGATGTGTATAAGAGACAGTATATATATATACATATATTTCGATAGATTCTAGTGTGCCTGATGGCGTGGTGGAAATGATTAATGACATAATTGCTCAGCAATTCCCTGAATTAGAAACCCTTACAGATGACGAATTCAAGTATTTCTCGACAGTGGACGAGGATGGTGATCAAACCATAGGTGTGTTTATTTTATCAATTTCTACAAACGATTTACAACATCGGGTGTTAAAATTTACAAAATTAAGCGTATTTTGTTAACTTTAATTAATTCAAATGCTTTGACTTTATTATTATTCATGTTTCTAGAGGGGGTGATTATCAAGTCATCTGGCAAAACAATGGACCTGACTCCCGTTACAAACGATCGGAACGGAATAGCGTTTACAGTAGAAGCAAATATGAACGGTAATATGTTGTGCTGATTGCAAGACAATGGTCTGGGCATGTTTTAATAAATTCATGGTGTAATTATGCATCCATTAATAAATGGCGAAGGCAAATTACGTTCTGCTATCTTGTAAATTTGAAGTTAAAGCCTGTTCTTTGAAATTATATTGTGGCTTCCTATAGGTCCATGCTTGTTCAACGTAATGCATGGGTACCTTTGCTAAAATAATTAACTAACATTATTTTTTTAATTTGTGTCTTAAAACAGCTTGTTCAATTAAGGTACCTACGGTATGAATTTGTAAATGTAATTCCTAGATGATATTGATTTAAATTTAAATATAAAATATCATGGTTAGAGAATGTTCGATTGGCGGAAAGGTAATGGAATGTACCTTGGCGCTTCAAGCTAAAATTATAATTTGTCATAATTTCTTAATTTTTTACATACAGATACAATTGGAATAATTGCGGCTATATTCAGCTCTGAAAAGGCATCACTACCGTAAGATAGTTCAGTTTATTTTATTGTTATTTTGTGAAAAAAAAAGAACATTTTACATAGCAATACAATTGTCAGGGTCCGCTTATAAATAAATAACAGAAATAATAACCAGGTAAAGATGTAACAGAATCAGATAATAAACTATCTCCCGCCGAACACCATTCCGGTTTTTCTGCATCAAGGTTTCGGGGCTTGAACATTGAGATTGTGATTGTAAAGACTTAAACTACATAGGCCTACAAGGTAAAAACTATCCCCCGACACCATTACGGTATTTCTGAGTCGTGGTTTCGGGGCGTTATAAATTGAATATTAGGCTTAAAATAAATATAGGCCCTAATCCAATTGTCCACCAACTCAGTAATGAAAAAGTATAAAATGTTGTTTTATTTTATATCTTGATTTTATATTGTCTTTAGTACTTTTTAAAATTATATCAACTGACACAGGGTCAATAATGGGCCACCAGCGGTGTTGTTGCGTTTCCCGGTTTCCTCCATATTGATACTCTCCCGGCTATTTCATCCACTGTACATGTTTGACTCCTGGGTAAAATTGATAATAAATATATAAATAAAACAAAACTAGGACTATATTGATAAGAATGTACATTTTTAAATAAAAAAATAGGCCTATATATCTTTTCAGATTTCAAAGCAGCCTTGCGAACTCATATATTGCAAGTGACCTGGTCTCTCTCAACGTTTACGATGCTGAAGGAAATCCAACACAGAAGGCGAAACCCTATATAGTTTTTCCTTCTTTACACGTAATTGAATCAATATAATTAATGAAATAATTAATAGGCTGTTGTAGGATAAATAATTGCAATCAATCTAAGTCTTCTGAATTTGTAGTCAACAAGTCCGCATGTGACATGCCTAAATATGGTCATGATGACATCACATCATTACAATATATTGGCACATCATGACTATATATATGGGCACATTATGACTATATATGGGCATACAGCATTATTTTTTGTCAAAGAAAATTTAATAGTACGGACGGAACTTAACTTTCATGCAATTTTTATAATAATGATATTAAGAAATAGATTATACTTTTTGTTGTTATCCTTATTTAGGTAAACGAATCAATTGATCTTAAAACCATGGAACCAGTTTGCGCTTTCATCGACGAAGCCACAACCCCAATGTAAGCTAATAGTAATAATTGCCGACTTATAGAGCACATATATGGAGACGTGCGCTTAACATAAACATGAAAAAAACGGACCAAGAGAGTAATACTTAATCTAACCCTAAAGACAAACTAATTCTGCTTCTTAAAATAACCATGGTTTGGCCGTTGACTCCGAGGAGCCCATCCGCCCTTTGTTCAGCTTTAAAAAAAATATATTATTGCTGCTGGTTGACCATCCATCCATCCAGTAGATGGGGTTTCCAGTTAGTCGCCGGTGGCTCGAGAGGATGTATTATAACGTCATACCCAGGACATCTTAACTACTACTAAATCAATACTAAATCATATCTTTACGACCTAAAACTAACTTAAACTGGAGGTAAAACTACCCTATAGGGTCTCTGCCTGCCGGTCCCCCATTGGCGCCACCCCTGATAACCGTTCATTTGTCTTGATGCCAGAGGAATCCTCCATTAGTTTGGTTTTCTAACAAAAACCTGTAGGCCTATCCTTGGTGAATTTGGTTCTTGGGCCGAATTCCATGCATTGGAGTCCGAATTCGCAGTTAATCTATTCCAGGGCAAAATGATGCGAAAGTGCCAACGATACTACGTTCATACATAAACCTACATCAGGACTATACTTTAATTATAAAATGTTTATTTTAATAACGTTTTATCATTTTTTTTTGTAAAATTTTGTATCTATTTTTTTAGTGAATGGTCGGACGATGGTTGTGTAACAATATCAAATGATTCTCTTACCACGGATGTAATTTGCTCGTGTGAACACTTAACGTCATTTGCAATTCTCATGCAGACTAATACGGTAGGTTTAATTAACGTATCTGCATATCCGTGTTCTAATCACGTAACTGATGACCATTGATGGCCACTAATTAAGACCAGTCTCATATTTCTGTTTTTTTTTATCATTGGCTCTATAATATTATATATATAATATATGTTATTTTAACCGTATATTATGATTTAGCAATTCTTCACTTGATTAAGTATATAATAACATGTATTGGCCACCGGTTTAAGTAACCATGTTATGGGAATATGTATCATTTGGCATCGACATTGTTTTGTTTGTTTGTTTATTGTTGTTCAACACACAAAATATACTAAACTTAAATTAATATGCAATATATATGAGCCTGGTTCTCACGAGAGCCCTAGTATCCGGATCGGGAGCTAACCGTTAGCACCTGCGTGAGAACGCCCAATCGGTTAGCGCTAACCGTTAGCAGTATCCGGATACCACTAACGGTTAGCAAGCGCTATCGGTTAGCAAGTTGAGAGTATTTCTATCATCAACCAATCACACGTACGCGTTTACGATTTCCAGTTTCTTATTGGCCAGTGATTCGATCATCATATTTTTGGTATCCGGATCGGGATGTTCTCGGATGGACGCACGACAGCTAACGGTTAGCAGGATCCGGATCCTGCTAACCGTTAGCAGCCGTGTGAGAACATAGCCATGTTATAAATAATGAAATTGTTTAAAGCTTTGTCCACAAGATAACATTGGTGTATGCCCATATATAGTCACCATGTGCCTATTTCATAATGTGATGTCATCATAACCATATTTAATAATAATGATTATGGTCCCCAGTAGAAAAAAAAAACTCATAAAAACAAAGTAAATGAAATTTTTAAAGAGTCTGTTAAAATGACCGTATCTTTTTTATTATCTGTGCTCAAAATATATTTCGATGATTAGAGATTATATTAGGATAATTATATAATAATATATATATATATATATAATCCGATATTATATGGATGTCTTATTAGCAGATATAATATCAATATGGTATTTCAGGAGATAGAGATAGAGGACAAGGATGCAATGTTGGGGCTAGAGGTCATTACGTACGCAGGGTTGTCAATATCAAGCGTGTTCCTGCTATTTACCATCTGTATAATATGCTCGTTCAGGTTTGAATAATCATGTTTCATTATATAGTTGGCACACATGTCTATAGATTAAACACTTAGAGTTGGATTCGTCTTACGACGCAGTGAGTGTCCGGCTAAATACGTCCGACCCTTTTTCAAAATCATAAAAATGGAGAAAAAAAACAAAATTTATTTAAATTTAAGTTGGAAAGTGTCATTTCCGGTCATCTTGCGGTGCCATAATAAGAATTTTTCTTACCTCAACCTCAACCTTAATGGGTCTTAGCTGATCTATACTCTCCATCGATGAAATTCCTTCCCTGTGCCCCTCTTCAAATTTCGTCACTGTAGGCCTATATTAAGGAGGTTCCGGTTGTACTCCACTTGAATGTATTTTATCATTAGCCTCCAAATCTAAAATAAATAATCTGCCTACTAATAACAGCAGCATAAATAATAACATTCATATATTTTATTTGCATGGCTGGTAATTAAATACTATTGGTGATGAGAGTAAAACACTGTATATCAGTTACATTAATTTGGTCCAATTATATATGGTTCAATGATAACATATTATTCAATCCTTTTGATTATTATCATTTTTGAGGTTTGCTTTAAACAAAAAGAGATGTCTCATGGCATGTATTTCAGTGCCGTTAGTTTAAAGTCTGGGGTGGATGCAGGATTTGGCGGTAGGGGGTGCGTGAGAAAATTTTGAGAATATGTACCTTAAGGTGCCCGGAAATTTAACTCTTATACTTTTAAAATCTTACTGGTACTATATTTTCAATGATTAAAAATATCAACAATACAGTACAACAATGATTTTTCTTAATACAATTTAGGGGGATGCGATCGCACCGTTGCACCCCCGCCCTGTAAGTGGAGCGTTGATTCGAATATGTACCCTATTAAAATTTGAAAAGAGTTCTAAACTAAAATACGGAATGTTTATGTAATTAACATTATTATTTTGTAGCGATTTGAGGAAGTCACGACGTTATAAAATGTTGGGAAATCTTGTCGTCTCCTTGCTTTGTGCCAACTTTACATTTTGTTTGCTCGCTTTCAATATTGAAAACAAGGTGGGTTTGCATTCCTATTCAAACATCAAAGTATAGAAACTGACATAATTTACAATTACAGGTCTTCCAGTAATTAAAGACTTCCTGTGGCCCCAAACTAACAATGTTTTTTTATGTTTATTATTCTAATTAGAGACATAAGCTGTTAAAGAAAATGAAAACCCGGTCCCAAAAGTGGTCTTGAATTGGAGAGAGACCTGTATTTATAAAAACAGTATCAAATGTATAAATAATGTAGGCGTAGATAAATAAAATATAGCAAATATTTGACAAGAAATGTGTGGTATTGCAAACCACTGACATTGAATTTCATCTAATTTTATTTAATAATCAGGCAACATCGAAATGTTAAGAACAATCCAAACTTACAGTAATATAACTGAAAAACACTAATTTAAGACACTTAAAGAAATAACAAAGTTTGCCTAAACTAAATTACTATTTATGACTTACAGTACATTAATCATACGATATTAGATAAAAACAAAGGCCCAACAAAGTGTCAAATATGTATAATTAATTAACTAAAAAATAATTACTACAAACTTCATACGTCTACATTTAAGTCTGTATCCTATGTCTTCGTATTGTTAAGCTTTGCAACTGCGCACTTAGCAAGTCTTATAGAACTTGTTTCAGATCGCTTGTTCTCTTGTTGCTGCTTGTCTCCATTACTGCCTCTTGGTGGCGTTTTCTTGGATGACTATCTTGTCCACTGACATGTACCTGTGCATCCAACATGCATTTTTTAACCCAGAGAGAAGATTGTTATTGTTCCAAATATTCGGATGGATGTTCCCTCTTTTTGTCGTCGCTACGACGGTCGCTGTAACAAGGGAGAACTACGCATCCGAGAGGTAATGCTTAATATGAAACTTAAAGCGTTACATTCCCGAATATTGCAAACGTTGTGGTTTATATCAGAAATAACGTCAACATAGCGTTGTAGAAACGTCTGCAACGGTATTATTTGTAATGTTATGAATACGTTGGTTCTGCAAACGAAAAACGACTTGCACAACTGTCAATGTTATCATAATGTAAAATTGTCAGTAAATTGTTATTTACAAAATGTTATGGGTCTTTCAAATTCACTGCTTAGCAAAAGCTTTTAATCACAGTAGAAACCTTTATCTTTTATCATATTATATTGATTTTCCAGAAAATGGAATAAATAATAGAACGCAGAACACACACACACACCCACACACCTGTCTCTTATACACATCTAATAAGACTGTATTTAGATTTTTTATGACGGACGGCAGGCCGGCTAAATTGCTATAATTTTGTTCTATCAAAACATTGAACACGTCTGTTATTGGAGAAATGTATATTTTATGTTATTTAAATGGCGTATATTTAAAAGTATATACCATATCGTAGTTACTTTCATGTGTTTTAAATATATAAATATATGATTTAATTTTTAATTATTTTTTTACATTTAATTCCTAGAATGTTACTGTTTAGAATTCTTCTTCTGACGCCGGTTGTTGGACTAACGTGGATCTTTGGTATTCTGAGCATCTTGCACAGTACCATCATTTTGCAATATCTGTTTGTGATTTTAACGTCTATGCAAGGCTTCTTGATCTGGTTTACACAGTGTTTTCTTAGCAAGGAGGTAGGTTGTTACAGCTATCGCGTACTAAATATTAAAATGTCGGATATGTACAATGAGCATTATAATATCGTTAAATTTCTTCTTCTCTCGTATGCATTGTAAATCATATATAAAATACCAAAAGTATAAATAGTGGAGGTACGGTCGCACCCTGTCAGACGAGAAATACCACCGTTACATTTTTCTTTGAGTACTCTTCCACAATAGGTGTTGGTTTCATATTCCGCTTGTGCAGCATGTTCTGTAGGGACACATCCAGTAATTGGGTTGGTCTATCTAGTCTGAATTGAAGAATTGGAGTGCAGACGAAACAGTGGCGATCTAGAATTCTTGACATAGGGGCTGATGGGGGTGGGGGAGAAGGTGGAGTGGTGTGGGAACCAATGATTAAGTGAAGTAGAGCTAGGTCGCAAGTAAGGTGATTCTACCGAGCGTGATGTTTGCTTCGGACATTTTCAATGAGGATGCGACCGGGGGAGCGAGAGAGCTTTTTTTTGGGGGGGGGGGGGGGTGCCT